GCATCGTATAAGTGATGTTAAAAGCCAGGCATCTAAAAGTTCATGTGGCATAAGTGACACCTATTTGCAAATAAAGGTTATAATTACAGTTGATTTTTAAGCTATAACCATTCCCCTGAACTTTGAGCTGGATATGCCATCTTCAGTGCCTTGGCTGTGCACAGCATGTTCCTGGAGCAGTATTTTCTGCCACTCTATAGGCACAATTGATGTTTGCTGAGTTTGGGGGCAATAACCCCTCCTGTTGCCATTATACTGAGGCACTCAGTGTATTCTCCCAGCTGCCTTATGGCTTGTAACTGAGTTAATGTCAGCATTGTTATTGATCTTCAATGGCTTGTTAGTGGTTCAGATTTCTCACCTTTTCATATTGCTTAGAATTAATAGACCCTCTGGACAAAATAATGTGGTACCTTGGTGCTCGTCTCTTAAAAAAATCCTTCCTTAAATTATTTCCTTGGGTCTGTTTGTTTCTTTAAAGATGATAAACATAGGGTAGGGCCTGCTTTGTTAACACAGGTCATAGTTTCAGAGTTTAACCGCAGAAGAGTCCAATAGCTCATTTAGTTTGGCACCCTCTACTGAGTGGGCCATTAAATTTCACCCAGTTATTTCTGTATTGAGTTGCATAACTCATGTTTGGCATAAACATCTCTTCCAAAGCTATCCACTTTTGATTTGAAGGCAAAGTATGAAGAATATACCATTTCCCTTCCTAGTTTGTTCCAACTGTTAATCACCTTCACATTTAAAAGGCGTACATAGTTTCTCATTTGAACTGGTCTGGTAGCATTTTATAGCTCTTTTATGTTATGCCTTTTTTTCCAGAGCCTTTTGTTGCCGTGTATTTTCTCCCTTTCAAAGAATTTTCACACTCCAATCACCTCTGTCATTTTTACAATAAACCCAATAGCTTAATGATGTTTGAGTTTCTCCTTGCATATTTTTTTCTTGGACTTTGTAGCTCTTTCTGCATGCTTCCTGGTTTTTCAGCATCCTTATAAAAATGTACCCAGAACACACTGCAGTATTTAGTATATCATTTATAAATTTTAGAAATTCTAACATTGATTTACTACTGTCTGAATGGGACCTCCAGCATGCCGCTGAATAACAATGCAGTTTTTCTTTCCACACTTGCAGATAGGTAGGGGAGTAGCTCATGCTGTTTTCTGGTGTGATTTAATAATCTAAAATAACGCCCACCCCACACGTACGCACACAATTTTATGGGGTAGCAGACTTCGTTGTATCTCTAGTGAACTACCAACACTCCCCCAAAAAAAAAATTCCAGTAAAATATTAAAACAAACTCATTTATTTGAGTTGTGAATGGCACCACTAGTCAGCAGCCCACATAAATGGGTCTTAAAGTCAGGACCTAGGTAATGCCTTTACAGAGCATATGACTTTCAACCCAAAATGAAGCTTTCTGATGTGTTTGTATGGATGCCACCCAAAGAATCCTTTAGGCATCTTCCAATAAATTACAGTAACAAAATTGCTTCCCCTGACCCAGTTGTTACATCAAGCTTAATGTCTACTCTTCACATCTTGATGCATCTCAGGTCTCATGTAGACTTGAATTAAATTAAATTAGAACAAGTTGAAGTCTGGTTTTACAATCTCTGTTTAAATGGTTTTTCCCACGGTCCCCAACAAAGTTACCTTTTTTAAGCAACGTAGCTGACAAGCAGCAAACTTGGGGAAAAAAAAAGAAAACAAATATCATTTAAAAACTGTACCTTAACCTATCTGGGAGAGAGACTTTTCTTTATGTGAACTTTAAAGTTGCTGTACTGAGCCATTGGTTGAAGTTGTGATGTAAAGTGAGGGAGTGAAAGTTAAAGGTTGAGTTTCCATCCTGTGGAATTTGAACAGTGACCACTATCCTCCTATGGTAAGTACTGTAAGAGTTGTCTGTTATTGCCTGGCATCTCACAGCATACTGTTTCATAGTCATTTAAGAAAATTCAGTTACCAGGATGAAGTAAAGTTTGAGATAATAAATTGTCCCTTTAAAAAAATCCTCTAAATCTAGCCAAACTATTGTAAACTTTCTTATTTTCTCTTCCTTGTAGACTTGAGACTTGGCATATTTTTAGTATAAATTATTATAGACCCATAAGTAATTAAGAATATCCAATGAAACAGTACTTTTCATACCCCTTTGTGTGGTGTTAAGTAGAAGCCTTTAGATTTCTAAAAACTTCTGCTACCTGCTTACAGGGAAATTGCAGAATGAGAAGCTGTTTTGTCTTCCATACATTAGCATATAACTATAAAGTACAACTGGGGTCACGTAATGTATTGTGCCAGTAACTTGTAAGATAGATATGTGCAAACAAAATATATTATTTGTTCCAAGTTTTGTCTGGTAATTCTTTTTATTCCCCCTTAGTCCTTTTACTAACTAGCGATTGCTTTCCTGCCTCAAACCTTTCTTTCCTAAAGGGAACGTGTTGAAAATACAAGTCGCCCTGGGGAGATGCAAGTGACAATCCAAAACCTGATGCCAGAGACAGTCTACATTTTTAGAGTTGTGGCTCAAAATAAACATGGCCCTGGAGAGAGTTCAATACCATTGAAGGTGGCAACGCAGCCTGAAGGTAAGCCTTTAAGTATTTCTGCCCATGCTGACTTCCATTGACCTAGATCCATAACAGACAGGAGAAATTTTTTCTTCCCCTTTTCCTGGATTTTTTTCCAGAAGAGTTGCTTCGCACAGTCTGGTTGCACTTGTTGACCTTGTTAGCTTAGATTCCAATTGACATTTTGCACATCTTTTTCATCGTACAATAATATGCTAACCTGTATTATTTATGTAACATAACATTTGGGTAATTAAAGAATGAAACATTACCATTTTTAGCCAATTTGCATTTGCAACGCATCTCAGACAATCTTACCTAATACTTCCACATTTTAAAAATGGGTTCACTGGCATTCAAATTGAGTAAATACCAATCATTTTAAGATTTAAAAACAGACATATGTTGCAATTGTCCCCCAAATCAAGTGTTTTTAAGCCCAAGAAATTCCAAGTTAAAATAATTCAAACTTGTTGACATCATGGAAACACAGTTAAGTCACTGAACTCCGTCCTATAATCATGTGATCTGTAAGCCACAGAGTTATAATTCATGTTAATACCATTATATGGTCCTAGATTAAACTAAGTTGTAAGGATGTAATAAAGAAGGGATGGGCAACCTGCGGCCCCCAAAGGACAGCAATGGCCTGCAATGACAATAACTGGCAGGGGAGAGAGGTGGCATATGGCAAGTAGGATGTCAGAATGGAGGACCTCTGGGAGGCTGCTGCTTTTCTCACCACTGAATCCACTGTTGCCTGTTGCTGTCAGCAACAGCGATCAGTGGCACTCAAGAGGCAGGGGCATGGGAGTGACCACTGGGTTTTGGAAAACGCTGCCCCACTGCATGTGGCAGCAGGGGGATCAGCAAGGGAAGCAGCCAAGTTGCCATGACAAGCCTCTCTTGGGGCTAAGCCGTGTTACTTTAGCCTCCCAGAGCACAATTAAGACAATGTTGGGCATATTGATCATTATACTTCCATACCTGGAGGTCCCCTCTGCTGTCATCTCTAAGGTTTGGAGGGGGAGGAAGGCAGAGCCTCAATCCCAGTGGGACCAGTGGGAGACAGGGGCCTTATTTCAAGTGCATTTTTTGTGAAATTATCTGAAGAATCTCCCAGTCACAGAAGATAGGATGCTAGGCTATGTACTATTTTCCAGTGAGTTGCAACTGTATGGGAGAGCTGAAGAATCTGTTTTGTTAAGCTTATTCAGGGCAAAATAAAGAGTCTGATCCAGGGAGCAAACATTTCTTAAGGGACCCTTTTTAATTACTTTTAGATCAACAACTAATTCGAAAATATTTAAAAAATTCTTTTGTTTATAGGGAGTGGGGAAGAATACGTACTCTGTTCCTCATGTATATTGGTGTTAAAATGCAGTGCCATGCATAGATACATGAGCCAGCTCAGGTCCTGGCAGCTCTGTTGTTCTGTTAGCATGGTGTTTTGTTCAGGGCAATATACCCCACTTTCTCAGTTAATGCTTAAGGATGCAACCTGAATATTGTGGTAAAGTAGATGTATAGAAGGCAAAAGGGGATTGAGCCAAAAGAAATTGGAAGGATTCTGGAAATTCTTTTCAAATATATGAAATATTTAACTGCCCTCTGAAAATCAGCATTTGGAGGAGAAAAGTCCTTTTAGGAGTAGATATGGGATAGATTTAGCTCTTGGTGCTAATTGAATGAAATAATTCGTAAGGAAATAAAGCAAACAACAGTTAGCCAGAATGCACCAGATTCAATTCTCTCCACTTCAGTAAGCAGATCTAATTAAAATTTTGTCTGTATCACTTTTATCCATGAAAGGAAGAGTTCTGTCTTCCAGGAAGTTATTTCCTCAGCCAGGCAAGTATCTGCTGATGGACACAGAATGCATTTTTTGTACAATACTTTTTAGAGCCCTTATTGCTTCAAACTGTTGTATAGAGGAGTATTTATAGGGAGGTGCAAGTCTGATAGGCATCACATTAGCTGAGGGAAAGAAAAATCTTTAAGATTAGCTCTTTTGTCTCGGGTACAAAGCTGAAAATAGGGGGCACTTGAAAATAATTTTGATGGATTATCAGGCCTTTTAACATCACTAACATATTTTCTAAACATAATTATTAATACACTCACAAGCACAAAAAAATTCACAATATTCTGCCTGAAGTCTCATCGTCTATACCCATCTGTATTTGATTCATTCTCAGGTGGACCCTTGCATATACCATCTTAGCCTTAAGACTAATTTGCAAAAAAGCACCAAGCAGGGGGAGGACCCATCTACCTCTTGCATTCAGTACTTTTCAGGGATTCAAGCAGGATGTGCTTGGATCATGCTGCAGGCATCTTAAGTCTGCTTAGGCTGCTAGTAGGTGGAATATGATCTGGTTTGAAGTGTCCAGTTTCATACCATTCCTCAGATCTGCACTTTGGATTGCTAGATTTGATTGTTTGCTGCAGACTGAGCTTTCCTGGGCATATTGATAAGTTCCTGAAAAGGTTTGGTGGTTCTCTGTGTCCCAAGACTAATACATTTTATTGTACTTAATATATTGTCTGTTAATGGGCAGAGAATGCAAGGAAATGGTTAAATTGCTGCTACTTATCGATGAATATGTACCAGATTTGTTATGCTAGTCGGTTTTGAAAGTAATATTTATTCTGCAGACATTTGCAAGTTGAAGGATAAGAAATATAATGCATAAAATCAACTGGGTTTAAATACACAGATAATAAAGCGTATTTAATGACATGCATTTAATCTTTCATATTTACTCAAATATTAGATAACCCTGAATATTAGCCAAACCCCTCCCCCCAGTAATGTACTAATTTGTTATACTTTTCCAAGTATTTAACTTAATTATTGGAGGTTTGGCTTGAATTTGTCCCCCTTCCACTGCTACAGCAGGGAAAATAAATTTTGGAAGGAGTCCGGTGGCTCCCTTGCCCCCTGCATCCCAAGCCTCTTTCTCCTGCAGCCCCTTCTTCCCCTGCTCCATTTAATGTCAGACCTGCTCTCCCTGAGCATGTAAAAGTGGGGGGCAAATTGGAAAGCACTAACTTGGAAATCAACATGTTTGCAGTAATTTAGTTTGTCTAGAATTGATGCATTTTACCTTTTTTAAAACTGCTGCAAATTCTAGCACAGGTATTCCATAAACACACTATTAAGCAGCACTTTTGTACATGCTTTATATATAGTACAAACTGTGTATGATATTAGTCCAAAGCCAAAAGGATCATGATTTGCCATATAGTTTACTGGGCTGGGTCCCAACAGTCAACAGCATTTTAAGCCATGGTGACCCCATTGCTTGGCACTGCTCAGTATGAGTGTATATTCCAGATACTCCCCCCAACAAAGGACCCATGTGCTAATTACCACATCCCACCCCACCCCAATGACTGGAACTGGGTATTCTTGTCCTGGGATCCTCCAGAAATTTATCTGCAGATAAGACTTAGGGCAGCGTGGTACAGGTCCACCTCATGGAGGGCAGGGCCATATTAATCATATGCAACAAGCTGAGAGAGGGGATGATAGAGAGATTCTGGGTGAACTGTTGAGGAGCCCTGTTTGGTGATGTTTGTTAGGCATTCAAGGCCAGTGAAGAAACAGGAATTTTTTGAATGGGGGAAAAAAAGGCACAGCTCAGCTGTGGAAGTGAAGAGGAAGTAAAAATATATTCAGTATAGTGGCTCACCATGACCTGAAAATAGTTGGCACTGAGTGCAGTGGGCACTAGCATATATTTTCTTTACGTGGGCTTCAGTAATCTTTCCTTGTGGTAGGTTCTTATCAGTACGTTTGCCCAATGTGGACCACATGTTTAAAGTCATGCTCAGTGTTGGCTGCATTAATTAACTTCATAGTTGGTTTCCATTTTTGAGCATGTTAATGGTAGCAATTTAATTATAGACAATGTATTTAATAGGTTTCATTGTATGTGAATATAAGACAAGGACGCTTTTTCCCTGTGTTGATTGAGGAAAAACCTTGTCTTTTATATTTAAGTAAAGATGGTATTAGGTAACCATATCACATCCTTATCATAAACATTTTTTTGGTTCTGAAGCTAAGAGTTTCTTCCAGGAAGGAAAGCCTTATAATTGAATGTTAGAAAAATGTCCGCTTGTCTACAACCTAAAAAGCAGTTCATTTTATGAGGTACATAAGATATTTCTAATTGTGTTAAGTCTTTTAGGAGGTGGAATTTAATCATCTCTATCTAGAAAAAATGGCTAAGATGATCAGTACTTCACTAATCAGACATAGCCAATTAGAGAATTGATGACTATTCTGAATGTTGCCCAGTTTCAATATACTATTTGAAATATAATTTTATTACTTGGCTTTCAAAAATACCCTTTTTATCATGTTTTCAGGACTTGCCCCCAACATATTTAGTGTAAAATTGAGTGTTCAGATCAGTGAACTTACAGTAGTTCCATGTCTTCATTCCAGTTCAACTTCCTGGTCCAGCACCCAACATTCGAGCATATGCCAACTCTCCCACTTCAATCACTGTCACCTGGGAAACGCCATTGTCTGGCAATGGAGAAATTCAGAACTACAAGCTTTATTACATGGAAAAGGGGATGGATAATGAGCAGGTATGATGGATCTCTGGACAGTTTATAATGCCATTTAATTCTGGTTAGACATTATACAGTTGTAGTAATTGCATGTCATTTAGCAACCTACTGGTAATTGAACTCATTAGGCCTGATCTAGACATCTCTTGCACCAGCTTCACTAAAATTGTTTTAAAAATAGGTTATGTTAAGCAGATATAATCTCATGAGTGGAGGTTCTTACCATTTTACAATGGTGCAGCATACAGTAACTGCTTTTCTAGCTGGGTTTGCATTGGTTTAGCCAAATTATTGTTTTAAAAACTGTAACTGGTCCAACTGTTGTATGGAAACAAAACCTTAGACTGGCAAATATCAGTAGGTTAATACGAACTGGATTCGGAAGGAGTAGGAAGGTCTGAGTTACAACTCAGAAAGCTTTAAGAGACTCAGGCCTAAATAAAAAAAAAAACAACCCTCTGAGATTTGGGCTCGTTCGATGAGCTTTAGTTAAAGCACCCTTGCTGCCATTTTAGAGTGCAGGGACACTGGTACACGAGATGCTGTAGTGCTTTAATTAGAGTGGCTCTTGGAGCCACTCTAATTAAAGTCTCCCCCACCCCCCTTTCCCCGAGCATGTGTAAAAATGCCCATTAACTCAGGATATGTGAAGTAGACTAGCAAAAAAAATTGGTGATAGATTCACTTGTAATCTATTTTACTGAAAACCATAACCTCCACTAATTTAGTTGATGATTTCCATGTGATCTCTAACCTTGGCAAATTGTTATTATTTTGATTGCTTAAACTCAGTAGCCAGTCATTTGATCTGATATTTCAGAGAAAGCAGGGAGGATCCTGCTAAGTGACTAAGCTTCCTGGACTTGAAACATTATAGCAGCAATGTTGTAGACTTCGACTTGGCCATAGGAGACTGAGAGTTAATCCTAGCCTCTCAATTACTCATCCCCACTCACCTGGGATTCCAGCTAAACAATAATTGCAAGAACAGTTGAACATACTATTTAAAATGTTAATGCAAATTTAAGACGTTAACCTTTGACTGAATCTGTTGTATCCCTGAACTAAAATAAATGGCATTACTTTTGTTTTTGTTAGTTCCATCCCACTGTTCAAAGTGGAAGCATTAGCATGTGATAAATAAGTTTGTCAGATCCATTTTCAGTAAGAGATCTCCTCTCCGCTTGGTACAATTCAATTTTTTTTCAGTATTATGCTGTACACTGCATAATTACTGTTGTTTTTGTAAACCTACTATTCAAATATGAACTTTTCAAACCAGAGCTTGTATCTGCTGTTGGCTTAAACAGATTCCACCACAGTGGGACCTCAATGCTTTGAGCATTATGACACTGTAAATAAAAACATGATAGATTCAGCATTGTTTTTAGTTCACATCTATGTTGGTTTATGCCCAGGATGTTGATGTGGGAGGTCACTCCTACACCATTAATGGCTTGAAGAAATACACAGAGTATAGCTTCCGAGTGGTGGCCTACAATAAACATGGCCCTGGAGTGTCTACCCAAGATGTTGTTGTGCGAACGCTGTCAGATGGTGAGTTGCTTTAATCCAGTTTTCTTGTGGAAGACATTATCTCTTTTGGTTAAACTGATTTTTAACCATAGAAACCTTCAGGAATTTTCTGTTGCCTTATGTCAGGGTGGTAAGACTGCTTCATGTGGTCATGCATGCTGAATAAACTTCATTGACCTTGTCCACACTGGTTGGAAGGAAATTACTATACCTACAAAAGCAGCTGGTTTTATATTAGTAAGTCTACAGGTTCCATAATGTCAACAGCATTAGTTCGCTTCATGGGCAAATGGGTCTACAAAATATTTAAAAAAAAAACAACAGGGGCAGAATACTATTGAGCCCAGAAATTCCAGCTTATTTTTTTTAACTCTCATAATTTATTATGTGTTAACAGACTTTCTATTAAGTGTTTGATTTTTAATTGTGTTAATAGATAGCAGTCTTGCATAATAAACTTTAGCTTGGCATAAATGCTCATATATGAATGATAACTCCCCCAAGCTGCATCTTAAAATTGATGGATGAATAGCAGTAGTGACACAAACAGCACAGCTATGATAAATTTATGGTTTCTTTGATTCATAATTCTGTACCGTGATTTTTCCCTGTATTTTTCTTTCCTATTTTCTCTTTAAAAATTCACTTGCTAAGTCTGCTTAGTTGTCAGAGAAAAACACTATGTATTTTTGTTCTGGTTCCCATGTGGATATTGTTAAATCGGTTGTTTATAATACTAGAAAAACTGCCTGCTTTTAGTATTTCAGGCAAGACAAATGGAAGTGGATGTGAGTAAATGGGGATCTATGAAAAATTGGTCACAGTTAATACTAACTTCTGCCTATAATATTTAGGTATGAAATACATTTGTAATTATTTTTCTTTTACGAGCTGTTTTTAGACACCATCTTCCTTTGTCTGGTCCTTTCTCACTATTTGAAAGCAGATTCCCCTTGCAGAAAATTTTCAGCTTGTTTTGTTTTTTTCCTTTTAAACTATGTTAGTGCTTATTAAAGAATACAAGGCGTGATCGTCAGTTATGCTGATTTCAGTTCAGGTCAGCTGGAAAGGGAGAAGCAGAAAAAAAATCGGTCTGTATATCAGCCTTCCCTAGTTATGAGGTTAGTTAGGAGCCTGACCAGTTCCCAGTGTAAATCGCAGTAACTGTAGGTCTGCTCTTCACAAATGCTATCTGGAATGGTCCTGTAGGAACTGTTCTTCTGGCATAGGATCATCAGAGCATAGGGTACTCTGGTCCTTATCACTCTCAACTGAACACCGTAATGAAGAATAGAAGGTTGGAAAGCAGCAGCAAACTTTGCTGAGAGCTCCGACCCCTCCTTTTCCATGAATAGATTGACTTAAACCCCCTGGTATACCGTTTTCCTTGTGCAGAATATCACTGGTCAGAATGTCCAATCTGGATACCCTGAGGAGTTAGGCACCTGCATACATGTCTCGCCTCTGAAAGGTGCTGAGTATCAGTCTCCTATTGAAATCTGTGTAAATTATAGATTATCAGTAACTTGGAACCTCAGATTGTTTTTATTTAGGTGCATAATGATAGGTAATGGGGTTAAAAAATTACATCCTACATCATGGCAAAATGCTCCTTATGTGAACAGTTACTCTATATCGTATTTAGGTTAGGGCACCATCATCAGTGTATCAAACATGATCTAAGGCAAGAGGGGTTTGTACTTTATATAAGGACTGGTATCTGGCAGGAATCATAGCGTTTATATAGTTTTTGAGGAATAACCTTTTAAAATGTTTCTAGTTCCCAGTGCTCCACCCCAGAATCTGTCCCTGGAAGTCCGCAATTCCAAGGTAAGATGTTGTGCATTTGCTGTTCTTAAAGGTAAAGATGAAAGTAGATTGGTCCTAGATCACCCAAAATTTAGGGCCTTTTAGGGTCTTACTTCAAACCACTCCACCCAGTCTAGCAGGCTTTTCCATGTACCTTTTCACAGCAATCCCAATCCTATAATATCTCTGAAAATACCTCGGTTTGGGGCATGGCTTTTTTATCTGAATCACCTGGGCCCTCTGTATCTGTATTTTCTTAATTTCCAATCCTTTGAACAACTTTATCAGTTTTAGTATAACTGTGAGGTCTTGTTCACAGTGCCTGGAGGTTTCCATTCACTTTTATATGCTCTAAAGACCACTTCTTAATCTGTGGTTTAGAGCAGTATAAACTCCACTGGGGGTTAAGAATACAACATACATCTAAATGGGAGACAGGCGGTGGCAATGGGTTAACTTGATGTAGAGGTTGATTATTAGGGAAAAGAGAAGTTCAGATCAGACAGAAGAGCCTGAGGCGCCAGAGCTAAAACCTGTTCCCAGTGCTCATTAACTACTGCTGTGTGTGTGTGCGCATGTGACTATGGCTTCCTGGGTGGTCTAGAATAATGCGCTCATCCTTTTTTATTTTATTTATTAAGATTTTAGAATTTGAGTATTTTTGCAGGTTAGTTATCAACTCTTTCCTCAACCTCTTTTTTCACCTTTTCTTTTTATATGGGACAGCACTTCAATCAAACTGGTAATGCATGCAGCATTAGCAATAGAACAGTCTGATTGGCTGAAGGGGAGGCAGTGAATTGTAATATGTTTTGCCTTCTACAGAGCATCATGGTACATTGGCAGCCCCCTCCTCCTGGTACCCACAATGGTCAAATCACTGGCTACAAAATTCGCTACCGTAAAGTTTCTCGTAAGAGTGATGTAACAGAGAGCATCGGCGGGACACAGATTTTTCAGCTAATTGAAGGTGGGTTGTTTTATGTTATCCAAAACCTGAAAGAAGCAGCATTTAAAATGTGTTTCTCAGGATTTCATAGTTTCATAGTTTCTAGGGTCAGAAGGGACCTGAGTAGATCATCTAGTCCGACCCCCTGCCATGGCAGGAAAGAAATTTGAAGTGGTGCTGACTATTTCTTAGGGAGGGAGGGCTATTGCTTCTTGCCTTCACACGTGATCTGAAAATATTTTAAGTGAATGAACTGAATTAATTTGGGACAGCATGAGACAATGGTTAGGGCAAAGTGAAGTCAGGTGTCCTGATTCTGCCACAGTCTTGCTGTGTGAACTGAACTGGACTGAACTGACTTTTATTTTTAGATAGATATCCATGATATATTGCTTTTGCCAAGAAAGATAAAATGACACCCTAACTAAATGAGCAGGTGCTTAACAGGATGTATGGTTTGTTCTTAGACCTGCCAGCTCTGACTCTTAATGTGTTCTAGTGGATGCTGTGAGAAGAGCAAGGGCTGGCTGGTTTGTATTTAAAACACAAAGAACCAAAACATTTGGTTCAATCCCCACGTCATAGAATCAATACAATTAGTAAATGTAAACTCAGTGTTGCTTTAAATATCGATGGATGGCTTTCAGGGAATTTTTTTTCCTTCGGAACTAGCATCTACAATCCAAATGTTGCAGCATTCTGCTTTTGTATGGAAACAATAAAGCAAAACCGATTAGGAAATTGTTTACAGGTGAAAGTAAAACTGACCTGTCTCCATAGAGCTAATATAATAACCACTATACAATGCAAAACAAGTATTGACTTTTAGCTCAGATTGCTTAGGGATTGCTCTGCTGAATGTAAAGATGTATATCTCGTATTTAAAAATAACAACACAAACCAAGATGCTACTTATTGCAACTGGGGAAGCTCTTATTATTCATAGGCATAGCTGATAAATGAGTGTATTAAGCTTGAGTGTATCTTCATATTATTTTGATTATAGCTTGTGGACTTGGATAAATAAGGAATTAATTCCTTGTATATACTTTGGTGGTTAATTATGTGGTATTAGATGTAGAAATTTAGTTATAGAATTGTAAAGCATTCCACCATGCTGATGAAAAGCTTAATAACCTGTAAAGCAAAGCCATTCATTCATCAATTGACTGTATATGCTGCAAACAACCCTCATGCTGTTCTGCCATTGACCTACAGAGAAGGTCTCCATAGTGCCATAGTCCTGGACATCTCCTGTCACAGTCTAGCTGTTACACCACAATTTGTGTCAGTCTCCTCTACTGGAGTTCGCACTGTGAAAAGCACTGATTTCCATTTCTGACCTCAGGTTATGCTCAAGCAGCAGTCTCAAGGGTGAAAGGCCAGAACATAATGCAGTTAACTTCCTGGCTCTGTTTCAGGCTTGACCCATACTATGTTACAGCAGCAGCTACAACAAGTGCTTCCATCCATTTACTTTCACATTAACACGCTCTTACGGTCAGATTGGTGGGATTCTTGATGTCTTTAATTATAAATTGTGATTCTTTCTATGCGCAGCTGGAGCTCCTATTTTAATAACTTGCATGTTGTTTGTGTATTAGGTCTTGAGCGAGGTACAGAATACAGCTTCCGGGTGGCTGCCTTAACAATCAATGGTACAGGACCAGCTACTGACTGGATATCAGCGGAAACTTTTGAGAGTGACTTGGATGGTAAGGACATAACTAGGTAGCATACTTGTCATTTTAAAGTCCTCTCAGTATCTTAGAAATGTAGCTACAAATATGACTCCATTCTTCCAAGACAAACATGATTTTGTTCTGTAACATTTACTTTATGGGACTGATGCAATGGGACTATGAATTTTATTTATACATAAGTTAAATAGTAAAATAAAGTTCCCATCAGGTCTAGATAGTGGCCTGAAAACTGAAAATGGAATACTGTCCCAGTACTTCTTTATTTTCTGCAGTAAGTAATAGCTTATTACATAATGGTAGTGCCAAATAAGAATGTCTAGATTTTGACCTTAATCATCCAGATGTTCACACACCACAGAACGGGATGAATACTTTTCCTAGATTAAAGTCTGAAATATGATTATTTTTACAGTACCTGAAGCATGCTAGTGTCTTACAAAATGAAGCAAGACACAGTTCATAGTTTATTGTTTTGATTCTGAAATGAGCAGTGCTTTGGCAGGGTAGGATACAGCATTATAGCATGTCTATATGAGACATTTATTGTGCAGTTGACTAATTAACTGAGTAATAAATGTTTCAGCATCTGCACATGCGCCCCATTAGGGCACCGGTCAGGTGAGTCCTGAGGCTGCTGTGACCATTGGAGCGTCTTAGATGCTGTAGCAACCCTCCTCCACTCTGCCCTGTTTGGCTAGCTTTGTGCACTCTGTCTGTGGAAGCTCCGTCCAATTCTTAATATTGGTTCCCCAGCTCTTCTTGGGTCTACCTCTTTTTCTCTTTCCCTCCACTGTGCCCTGCATTATGAAGTTGGCAAGGGTGTCCAGCCTTCTCATGATGTGTCCATACCATTGCAGGTTCCTTCATCACACAACCTCCAACCATTCATAGGTTCCAATTTCTTTACTGATTTGCTGCTTGACAGATTCATTGGTCTGGTGCTCAGTGTACGAGACATACAGCAGTCTCCTAAAGCAGCATGTTTCAAATGCCTCAGTTCTGTTCTCTGACTACTTATTAAGCGCCCATGCCCCACAACCATAAAGCATCATAAAGATGACCACAGCATGCGGCAAATGCAAACTGCTAGGCCCTGTACACAGCAGGGTTTGAGACGTAAGCACTCATGGGGGAAGGAGCAAAAGCCAGAAAATACAAGCATGGAAGAGAGATGCGTTTAGAAGGGTAACAGGAAGATGTAATACATGCTTTATTGGGTTCACACTCTAATGATGTTCTTCTCTCTTCCTTTCTTTCACATGTTCCCTCAGGAAATGTAGGCATGCAAAGACAGCATTTGACTGGCAATGGTTAGGTTTCTATACTGAAGCTTTCTGAAAAAGAGGTTAAATAGTTTCAGAGTAGTCTAGGAATGCAGTATAGGAATGTGTCTTCTAATAGGAATTAAATCCTATAAACTATGTTGAAAATTGTAACCTGAATCTCCAGGATAGATTTGAATGAGGAAAAGTGTGTTTTATTGGGCTTATTCTAGTATCTAACTAAATACTATTAAAGTTGGCAAGTAGTATGGTTCTTTTCTTAAAAGTGCCTCTTATTTCAAGGTAGAACTCTTTGAAATTGCACGGTGATATTGTGATTAAGGATAACCAGCATGGCTTCATTTAATGAGTGGAAGGTAGTGATTAACTAAGCTGTTGGTGATCCTTTCATGATATATAGCTGCAATGATAAAAGAAGGAAATTCAGCAGTTGGAGTATACTTTAGAGTTCAAGAAGCATATAAAAAGACATCGCATTTGAGATGAATGTGAAAGGCAGAGTCACAAAATTAAGGAACCTAGAGAGGTGACTTTGTAGCTTAAGATAGGTAGAAAAAAGATAGTCCTAGATGGAAATTTCACGTTAAGAATTATATGTGGTGTTTCCTCGGGTCAGTTTTAAATCACAAGTTAATTTTACATCTTTTTTTTTTTTCTTCCTTCTTTTTCATAAAAAGCAATCATAAGCCTAGCTTTACTTGGCTAGTGGAAGATCCCTTTACATATCTTTTCGATAGCATACAACCACCATATGCTTCCTGCACTACGCACCGTCTTTTGTATACTGGTTTTGCTGGAGCCTCTCTCACCCAGCTGATCTCCAGTTGCTGGAAAGTCCTTTTTCAGAAGGTCATACTTCTGCTCTAGATGGACTTTCACATTTCTAGAATTTCTTTCACCAAATTCCCAAACTTCAGAGGGTAGATCAAACCAATGTATACAAAGTGTTCTCCTCGGGCCATTCCTTCTACCTTGTGTTGGAGCAGCTTGTGGGTCACTCTAACTCAAATAGGCAGCGTGCTGCAAAAAATGTAGTTGTGGATCATGTGACCTAGCAGCAATCTAGCCAGGCAGCAGCAAAGAGGTTGGATTGTAGGAGAGCCCCTATATTTGGCATATGCTAGGTGAACTTTGCCTCTGACACAGAACTAGTTGTGCCATCTTTAGACTCAAATTGTACCAGCAGTGCTGTGCAAAACTGCCACACAGTGGAAGAAGTATCTTCTTATAGCAGTGGCTTTCAGCCTTTTTTTATTTGTGGACCCCTAAGAAATTTTGCAAGGGGGTACGGACTCCTTTAGTGTGCGTATGCACATACTTTTGATGTGATACTCTTTCATGGACCCCTTAGACATAGTCTGTGAACCCCAGAGGTCCACAAACCACAGATTGAAAACCACTGCCCTATGGTCTTAATCTCTAGTGTTTAATTATGAGTGGTATAAGAGAGAAATGTTAACAATTGTGTTGAGTTTCCTAGTTGTTGAAAATCTGCCTTTTATGTTCAAGTTCCATGTAACTGTGTATCTTATACTCTCAGTGGAAAGGGCACAGATTTATTGGTTTGAAAATCAGTTAGTTTTAGTTGCCAAAATCCAGGTAGGCTCCATACTCGGGTAGCATTTATCAAAAATAATAAAAAAGCACTTTCCTTTTGAATCATAGTTAACAGTACTTTGTCAGAGGGTAATGCCAGCATTGTATTTAAAGACCAAAAACCTCAACAGTCACAGAATTTGAGATTTCAGTTGCATAAAAGTTATAATGTAAAGGCACTTGTACAAACTTTTATTTTTCTTTTAAACATATGGATTGCAATGCACCATATACTGAAAATCCTTGGCTCTGGTAATGCAATATGGTATTTGGTCAATATAACGTAACAGAAAGGAATGAATACATGGTGTGGGTGTGTGTGACTCTTGCTTTTGTTTCTCTAATAAACCAATATAGATAATTTTTAATAATATGTTGTTGATATAGTTAAAGTTTAAACTTGTAATTTCAGACACCCATATAGGAACTGATTCTCAATTATACCCCTGCTGTTTTACACCACTCTGAAAATGGGAATAAATGTGATTTATGTCTACTTCATAGGGCCTCAGTTGGTGTGTCTACATGTGCATTAATGCACCTTTTCTAAAGCCCATTAAATTTAGTACCTCCAGTGTGAGGTACTAAATGAATGCACATTAGGCTCTGCTATGTGCAGTAGTACATTTGTACTCTTTTTGGGTGATGCTTAATGCACAGTAGACTATTTTACTGCTCATTAGCATAATGTCATGGATTTTATGTGATACTTTAATGTGCAGTAAACTAGTGTATTGCACATTAAAGCACACATGTAGACATGCCCAGTGTAAATGAAAATTGGATCATTACAATTTTACATTAGCATTTATATGGTTATGCAGGGATCAGAGGGGAGAGCCTTGGTGCAGAGCACACGCATAAAACAAATCCGTTGTGCTATTTTGATTTCCAAATGTATTGATTGTTTTTAATGAAAAATTCTCATTTTAGCATTGCATTAATGTGGGTTTTTTTTGTTTTTTTTTTGCATTTAATACTTGTGAAATTTAATTGTCTGCTTTTTATTGCAGCCCATTAATCCCTTTAGTTGAGGCAAACCAATAGGCATATTCTGATTCAAGACACTGTTGCACTGCAGTTGGTTACCTATTTTCAGTAAATACAACACAGATCATAAAGTGAGAAACGCTAAAGGCAGCAGCCAACAGAACTATCTGAAATGATTTCTCTTTTGGAGGAGGGGGGTTGTGCCTTGTCTTCTATTTGAAATATTTTCTATCTGCTGCTGCACTAGCGATTCTGTTGGGCTGATGTAGTAATGCAAAGTAAGAAAAGACTGTTCTTCCTCTCTTCCAGGTATAGGTACAGACAAATATAAAGGTGGTTTAGTTCAAGTTTCAGTTAAGAATGGGGGCATAAGCCCTTCATTGCATATACTTTGGTGCTAACTTACATAAGTGCTGTGGAAGTTTTTCGGTTTAGCAGCACAATTCTGATGTAGGTATTGGATTGGGGTTGAATGTTTGCCATCAGTAGTTGACAGATTCCACAGGTACTCATTTCTGATGATGTGTCAGCACACATAACTCCCCTTTACATTAATGGCTTGGTAAGTATGTAAAGAGGCCCCATGGATTTAGAGGGACTGCAAAATTGAAGTGCACCGGACAGCGCTGAAGTGATTTCTTTAACAGATGGAATACCCAAGTTATTGGCAGTTGTTAAAACTGTGAAATCTGCTTAAATCTACAGTGAAGACATAATTCTTTGTTTGTGACCATCAAATGTGTTGTCATGGAGATGATTTTGATGCTAAAGTCAGCTGTGTAAGCTGCATTGCATTAACATGCAGGAAAATGAAGATTGGCTGTGG